CTTTGATTTTAATTTTACATGTTGTCTGATAATTTCAACGACAGTCGTAGTTTTGCCTGTACCTGGTGGGCCATGAATAACTGCTAGATCACTTCTCTGAATGGCAAACTGCACTGCTTCCACTTGAGAGTTGTTCAGTTTCTCTGAGGAAAAGGTTAAATGAGAGAAAAATAAGGCAATCATAATTCTATTTCCTACATAATTTACATATGCAATTAGAAGAATATAAAATAGCACGCAAAGTAAACCTTCACTTTTCATGACTTTGTCCACAACCTCAATGTGGATGCATCCTCATGTCAGAGACTAATGACCCTAATCAGTGTGGTGAAGGTTTACCTGCAGTTGGTGTTGTGACTACTTTTAATCCCCAAGCCCAGCTTTGTGATTACTGGATCTGAAAGGCTCTTACTTAGAGCACCTCGCAGTTCTACAAATTCATGACAACACGACCGATCCAACATTTCCTGCAGTTGCAAGAATCATATAAAACCCAGAAGAGTGTAATGACTGGTATATAATGTCCAGCATTTAATTTTATTAACCCTTACACTGCTACAGCCTGGGATGTTAATGGGGGTATGAGCTTGGACTGGTTGAAAATATATTTGAATAATGTGAAAATTAAAATTAAATGTTAAGCAAATCTCTAACCTATTGGCTTCAGCGTTGTGAAAGTTTCATCCCAATATTTTCAAAAATGGATTTTAGACAATTTTTTTTTTTAAAGAAGAACGTTTTGTTGATAAGGAGAACAGCTCCTATTAACTGGAACTGAGGGATAATGCAGTAATAAGGAGATACAAGCACCAGTCCGATGCACAAAGAAGAAGAATAGTAGTTAGAAGTGGCCACAAAGTGGATATGCAGCTGGTGCTCTTATACCATTGCTGAGTAATACAAAGTAACACAAATAATAATGAATAAGTATGTTATTATGCTCTATTTTGTTATATATCATACAAATACATTGTTCAATACACCTGTTACTTTCACAAATGTCCACAAATTTTTTTTTTAGGGGAAATTTCTTTTTTTCTTCTTCTTCTTAGTTTATTATCTGATTTTGTTGTAACCTCTACATCCATGAGAATGCGTACTTTTCCATAACTATGTGAAGAAAGAATTAAATTGGTCAAGAAATAAATCAGTTATAACTGGCAGAACTTGGTACTTTTAATTTTTTGGGGCTGACTTTTTCACAGATTTCAAACTATTTTCCTTGTTTCTTTAGATTGTTTTGATTATTAGGGACTAGATTAGGGTTTTTTGACTTATATAAAGTATTCCCTAAATATATCCCCTAAATCATTATAATTATTATAATTATCCCTATATTTTGTTTTTTTGGGGGTTATGTTTTCTTGAATTCATTTCAACACATTAACCTACAACTTTCACAAATTCGAGTACAAATGCCAAACAATATTTATTAAAACATACAAGTAAATTAATGAATTAGAACTACCTTATACATTGTCGATAACTTCAACTTCAATTATCTCTAAAACTAGAGTTTCCACATTGAGTCAGCTTAAAAAACTAGCGTTGAATGTAATGAAATGCCATTATCTGGATGTGACCCAGAGACTCCCCGGAGCTATCCCAGGCTGATATGCTAATGTCAAACTTTGGCATCAGTCATGCGTATGGAGTTCTTAGGCCTACCAGGGACCACGGCCAGAACCAGGCCTTATCAGAGAGGCAAGGGGAGCAATGGCCAATAGAAAACCCTGTGTGGTTGGAAGCATTCTATATCTGCCAGCAACCGGATCAGGAACCCAGAAAGGTAAGCGCCCCAAAACAAACCCCTATTCTGGTTAAAATTGCTACCAAAGGCAAACTAGTGGATAGAACTCCCCAACAGAAAACAAGCAAACAAGTGTGACGTAACACGTCGTCGCGCCACTGTCTGCGCAGCTCCCCCCCCCCCAGGAGGGGGAAGGGGAAGCACCAGACCCTTCACGCCGGCTATCCACACCTCAGTTCTGAGGCTAGATGTCAAAAAAAAAAAAAAAAAAAAAAGCCGACTGGAGGAAGCGAGGGATGCCGGGGAGCCTCCAGGACTCACCCAGAAAATGGCGTTTCATTACATTTAATTCTGGTTTTCTGGGGGGAGCCCTGTCGACTCCCCGGAGCTAACTACCCACAGACAGAAAAAGAGGGACTTAACCGGGAGGCGGTCGTCGCTCACTCCTCAACTTGAAGTCGAGACAACTGGCTGCAACCGCCGATCCAAAGCAACACAGGCCCAATGGGACCCAGGGACATTCAAGAGGTAACCAGCAGCCAGGACCCTGTTCAACCGCCAAAAACCCCGCGCCCGAATATCAGACCAAGACATATTCCCAAAGACGGCAGCAAGAGCCGCGAACTTACGGACGTCATGGGCACGGAGATAGACCGCAGGCTGGCTGGATTTGATAACCCTGCTGACGACCTCGTAGACCCGAACAGGGAAGAAGGAAAACAAGATTAACCGGTTTTCCTTCTTTCGAGAACCGGCAAGGGGACCAGGCAACCTTCAAACTCGTACACAGCGAGCGGGGACTCCGGGGTCACATCCATCGGACCCACATGCCCCCTAGGGGATTCCCAGGTTCCTGAGCATTTACATTAAGAGGACTCGCGCTCAGGTAGTCTCAGGCAGGGTTAGGTTATCTTGAGATGATTTCGGGGCTTTTTAGTGTCCCCGCGGCCCGGTCCTCGACCAGGCCTCCACCCCCAGGAAGCAGCCCATGACAGCTGACTAACAACCAGGTACCTATTTTACTGCTAGGTAACAGGGGCATAGGGTGAAAGAAACTCTGCCCATTGTTTCTTGCCGGCGCCTGGGATCGAACCCAGAACCACAGGATCACAAGTCCTGCGTGCTGTCCGCTCGGCCGACCGGCTAGGGTGCAGCTAACCGGCACCCAAAACTACCAAGCAAACCTCTATAGCTGTACCCCATGGACATGTACACTCACGGGGACCTAGCAGGGGGAACCACTGAGGAAAACCGTGGAAGGGCAAACACCAGTGAAATAATAGGACAGAACCCCCCACAAGGCAAAAAGAAAAAGAAAAACAAAACCCCACAAGAGGACAGCGAACCTCAAGGAACAGAACCGACCGCTATGTCGGGAATACAAAGCTGCGCAGCACCCTGCGCCCCTACCAGTGCAAACTGCCTCTTACCTGCAGGTAACAAGGGAGAACAAAACACCCAAGAGCCCAACAGGCAGCCAAAAAAACGAACGGTAGAACGGACCAGCAGAGGCAGACCCCGATGAGCCTGTGGAAGGTGGCCCCAAGCCCCAAGGGCAGTACTTACAGGGCACCTAGGGAAGGCAGCCCTAGACGCATGCAGCCCGAGTACTGAAGATAACTCCTGGCTCTCGCACCCACAGAAAACAAACACCACACACGAAGCACAGTGCTGTAGTGACACTGGAGCCAGAGCACACGACCATCGCCTATAGCATCAGCCTCAAGAACTGACGTGTGGACAGCTGGCGTGAAGGGTCTGGGGCTCCCCCTTTCCCCTCCCGGGGAGGGGGGAGCTGCGCAGACAGTGGCGCGGCGATGTGTGACGTCACACTTGTTTGCTTGTTTTCTGTTGGAGAGTTCTATCCACTAGTTCAGCTTTTGGTAGCAATTTTAACCAGAACAGGGGTTTGTTTTGGGGCGCTTACCTTTCTGGGTGCCTGATCCGGTTGATGGCAGAACATAGAATGCTTCCAACCACACGGGGGTTTCTATAGGCCATTGCTCCCCTTGCCTCTCTGAGGGGGGCCCGGTTCTGGCCGTGGTCCCCGGTAGGCCTAAGAACTCCATACACATGACTGATGCCAAAGTCTGACATTAGCATATCAGCCTGGGATAGCTCTGGGGAGCCGACGGGGCTCCCCAGAAAAATTCAGTTTCTGACTGATTCTCATCATTTTTACATATATATTGTGTGCTGCTGTCTGTTCTACAATCCTATTAAGATGAGTTTTTCATAAACACTAAACGTGTTGAGTTATAAATTTTGTTGTCTGAATTTGGTGCATATTTCAAATGCCATATTGACGATTTTTTTACAGTAAACTAAAATGAAAATCTATATTGTAAATGAAGATCATATACATATTAAAATGAAGATCATATACTATTCTGAGTCATACTTTTTTTTTTGAGCTTATAAACAAAATTTCTGTACTTTTATCACATTGCCAATCTAGCTGTATGAATATCATGTTACTTCATGTACTCTAACAGATTTCCTGGAAATGAGTCTTGGTTAATTTTATTACATCCATATAGAGCTCCTACAGCCATTTTAACATCACTGGCATTCAAAACAGGCAACAATGGAAGTAATCATCAAATGACAATAACCGCAGAAGCCTAGGAGATCAACACATGATGACTGCACGTTGAGGATTAAAGTCAAATGTAACAAATAACGAATGCCACAAGTTAAAATATAACACACCAGGTTACAAAGTGGGGCATAAAGAGTGTGCCCTCACTCTTCCATAGTCACTGTCATGTAGGCTCTGGATGACAAACTAGTAGGAATACACTCAAATTTATTAACATAGTGAAAGCAAAACATATACTGACCATTGAAAAGTGCTAATTTGCCATCTGGGAGAGTAAGTTGTGATGGTAAGGAAGATACTGGAGGCCTGGGCAATGTCTCCCCAAACAAGACTGAGATGAGATGTGAGGCAGGTCCATTAACATTCTTATCGAGCTTTGTCAGCCCAGATTTAATCCTTCGATATGTTACCTGTGATGAGAGAATTACTGTATTTTATGTTTTGATCCACTGATTTAATGATCAAACATTGTATAATACAAAGTATTAACTTAAGGAAAGTAAAAGGAAAAAACACTGGTAATGAACACAAACAATAACAGTGTTAAACTCTCTTGCTGCAATAAGCAGCTATGGTCAAATCAGAACAATGTAATTCTTTGTGATACTGTATTTGGAAGTTTATAAATGCATAAAATTTGTGTTGGAATTTTCCTTAACCCTTGAACTGTGCAACACATCAATAGCTGTGGTGAGTGACTGTCACAAAAATTGTGCACCACAGCTACTGATGTGTTAGAGTACAGTGCAAGATTTAAAAGTCCCGTGGCTACACAGGGTTCACATCAGCTTCTTCAGGGCTCTTGTAAACAGGTGTATTGTACTAGTATTTAAAAAAAAAATAGTGGGCAACATTCCTGGGCGTAAGAGCCTCAGTACTGAGTGAGCCACCAAGGCTGGCGCACGCAGCATGAGCTAACAGAACTGCTATTCAGCTTGTGACCGGAGCATAGCCTAAAATTTAAAAAGTATATACATGTAACTGGTATTATTTAGCGATGATAGTATTACAACAGACCCCTGACTGTAATAAAAATGACCAGGATTCTGTTAATAGCAGGATTGTTGTGATGATTGTGCTATGCATAGTATGGTGGGAACAGTAATGCTGAGGAAGGGAGGTAGGTTTGTCAGCTGACTCCATGTGGCCACCTGTTATTGTCTAGAATCAACTTATCAGCTTAGTGGTTCGCTATGGTGAACACAAATGTAGATACTTATATATAACATGAGTATATAGTGTAATAACAGCACAAATAATATGGTGGGAGGAAGAATCTTAGTGAGGGAGGGGAGGCAGTGTTGTCTGACTCTATGTGGCATCCTCTGCTGCTGTTTGAACTCACCATACCAGTTTAGTTGTATAGTTATAGTGAACAAAACATGTAGGTACTTATATATAATGTCCGTATATAGTAAATAAAAGCAAAAAACCAGCACTGAATGTAATGAAATGCCATTTCCTGGGTGAGCCCCAGAGGCTCCCTGGAGCTTATCGGGCTAATGTACTTTTTATTAGACCGGGACATTTGCTATGGAGTTCAGACCTACCAGGGACCAGCGCCAGAACCTGGCCCCTTCAGAGAAGTTTCAGGAAGCAATGGCCTTGGAAAACCCCCTTGTGGTTGGGGGCTTTCCTTATCTGCCATTGACCGGGGTTAGGCACCCAGAAAGGTAGGCACAACAAAACAAACCCCACATAGTAAGAAACTAAAACTAAAAACCGAACAGAGAGGTAGAAACTCCCTACAATCGCAAGGAAACAAGCAAACATCACACTTTGCTGCCGCGCCGCTCGTCTGTGCAGCAGTCCCCTCCCAGGGAGGGGGAGAGGGGGGGCCCCGGACCTCACCCCGGCAACTGCCTAACACCAGTTCGGAAGCTAAGCTTCAACCAACGTGAAAAAACCACCGATCAGTGGGAGGGAGGGTTACCAGGGAGCCTCCGGGGCTCACCCAGAAAATGACGTTTCATTACATTCAATGCTGGTTTTCTGTGGGGAGCCCCTATGGCTCCCCCACAGTTCAGTAAAGTTCAGCAAAGCTCAGACTCCCGCAAAAACAATCGAGCAACCGCCTCGTGACCCGGGAGCCCCCTCAGAAACAGGGGAAGGCGAGACCGCAGCCACAGTCACTGGAGGGAAAGACAAGGAAGCGGTCCAAGTCCCACACTATACCCAGCCAAGATCGAACCTATGAAGGACACAGATGGAACTTCCTCCAGTTCACCAGGAACACAAACCCAGTAAGCTGGGAGAGAACCAAATCCCTGGCGAGTTGACACGCGGACTGGCTGGGAATCCACGAGTTCGTGAATCCCAGCCAGTCATCGAGGTAGGCCAGAACCTGAACCCCTAACAGAAACAAACGGGCCACCATGACCCGGGTACAGCGTGTGAAAATGTGAGGTGCCAGAGTCAACCCGAATGTAAGGCAACGAAAGCGGTAACCCAGACACCCCATAACAAAACCTAGCCAGTTCCTGATGTTGGAAGGTTCCAACACTTTATTACTAATATTCAGTACCTTTAGACACTACTAGTTTTGTACTGTTTAACATTATTTACTAACTCTACTAACATATAGCTTAGCAATAAGGAGCTTAGTTTATTAATGCGTAATAACACATCATTCCCCAGAAATTCTAGTCAGATGTTGCATCAGCACATGACGAAAGAGAAAATTATTTACATTTGAGAGAATCGTTCTCTTTATTTCACATTCCTTAATGGAAATTATTATTTAGTAATTTTATTGTTACAACTATGTTCAGTGACATACAGCTGATATGTTTAACTTCGTTATTAAACTATTTTTATTAGCCGATAATAATTCACGCACTTGCGAATTGTCACTCAGAGCGTTCATAGGTAACAATTTCTACCCAACACCCTCTCATATCAACCAACGTTTATTTAATCATTAAGAAACGAGCATTTATAGATTGTCAAATAAGGCAAATTATTCTCTAAAGTTTCTGATACGCCTTAGTTCCATCAACTCTGGATATTAAATAAAGCGTAGAAATATTCAACGCGTCGTAGCATCTGCGCATACGCGAATGAACCCAAAGAGGAGGAGAGGGAATGGCAAGCGACGCCATAATCCACGAGGAGTGTCTGGTAGTTGACCAAGTTACAGTCTTCGTAAAGAAACATCTGTGCACCTACGGACGTTAGCAAGGCGTGGCAGCTTCATTATGTCTCAGACACCTTGTTCAGCCCATTATTAGGTTCTATAATTTGTTTCTTGTAGCTACATCAAACTATTAGATAGGACAATGTGTCATTACAAGGCATAACTTTACCACCAAACTCGTAAGTTGCCTTCTACTCAACTATTCATATTAATTTTCCATGAACATTGATGAAGTTGTACTTTCTCCAATAGCTTTAACATTTAACTCGTATTTCAGCTGGAGTACCAACGCAAGTCAGGCGAATACTTCCTCGACGCCTACGTGTTCCTAGCTGTAGCCTGATGAAACATGATTCTAGGCGACGAGTACAGGACATATGGATCATTTACGTCTATTCATCCCACAGCTAAGCTGTCTTTATAGTTTTCGTGGATAGATCTTAACAATTTATTTTATAAATAACATTTTCTTGCATATCAATTTATATGTGAATATTTGATTAATGTGTAGTAATCCATTATTATATTATTTTATACATTATTAATTCTATTTACTGATTAAACCCCCCAAAGTCTGTGGAGAGATTTGGTTCCTTAAATTATATTACAGCTCATATATGATACAGTCTTAGATTTCATTTATATTTTATGCAAGATCAATAGATCACTGGTTCTCAAATTTATTTCCTCTATCTAAAAGGTCGTCATTCGAAGGAATTCATGATTCTTATTAACAATATTTTGGAGCCAAATTTCCCACACCTGAACCCCAGATGAATCGGGACGTGCCAGTACGCATCCCGGAGGTCCAGGGACATCATCCGAGTGCCTGGCTCCAAAAAAAGCCAGACCTGGGATAGAGCAGTCATCCAAAAGGAGGGGCAATAAACCCAGGAGTTCAGATGGGACAAGTCCAGAATGAACCGCAACTTTGCGCAGTCCCATTTCAGAACCGGAAACAGGCGGGAAACCCACCCCGAGGGACGAGGTCATTTCGACCACACCCAAATGAACCCACTCCAAGATGCCTTGACAGAGTGCAGGAAAAGCAGCCTGCCGCGCCAGCCCCGAACACCCTGAAGGAGGAGGGGCCACCCAACGACACCACAGGCCGCAAGAAACAAACCGAAACACCCACGAATCATGGGGACCAGGGTTGAGCAAACAGCACGAGCCTTTCCCCCCCCCCAATGCCCCGTCAATGGGACGAAGTGCAAAAGGGCCATAGACACTTATAAGGAGCCGAGCGACGAGCAGAGCCATCACTATGCCGACCAGACGTCGACAGCTCCGAAATTGGCACCACTGGCCTATTACGACAGGAGGAATCCTGAGCCCTGGCACGACCCTTCTGGGAAGAACCCCCCCCCCCCATGCCCCCCTTGAGAACCAACAATTCGGACATGGAACGACAACTCTAAGAAGCTGCCTGCAGATACTGCACCACTGCACCACTCTGCAAATAGCAAAGGACAAAGAGGTGTAGAGAACTTAAGAGCCAGGGCCCAAGCAGATTCCACAGATTGAGCGAGCACCGCCTGCTGACACGCGAGACGAGAAGCATAAAAACAGAGGCACTCTTCTTCAGGATCGACGCAAACAGCTTCACCAGTGCAGCCGATGCCTGCACCGCCAAGCGCACCAGTCCCAGGATTGGCCCTAAGTGCCGTCTATGTGCTCATCAAGCCAGTTCGAGGACAACTCGAGAAGGGAAAAGAAACGCTAGACCGATGCCAAATGGCCACGGGTGCGCAAATCCTCAGTAACCAGGGCAGCCAAAAGGGGTAGAAGCTGTATCTGGCCAACATCCCACGGAAGAGCAGGGGCGAACAAACACGCACTGAGTCGCACTCAAACAAATACTAAGGGTCTCTCACCACTCAAGCATGCGGGACCGACAGAACGTATGCCACGCTTGCAACAAAAAGATAGGACTATCTGCCAACAGGACGACTCTGGAACCTTGTAACGCACCCAGTAAGGAAAAGAAGAACCAAACTCAAAAGAGGCAGGATCCATTATCGAGGCGTAATCCGGGTTATGCAGGAGGTAAGCCGCAACGGCCTCCTGCACCTCATGAAGTGGGATGCGGGAGGCTGAAAACCTCCGGAAAGAAGGAACCGAAATACCCAAGGAAACCAGGAACCGAACCCGGGGAGGGGTTGACGTCATATCAAATTTGTATAAGGAGTGAGGGGGGGGGATAAGAAAATCCCACCCCTTGCAGCAACAAGCCCTGCTAAGAGGGCACCGAAACCCAAGGTGAGTCAAATG